GCAGGCAAAGAAAAACCTACAAAGAGGACAGGGAAGCAAACTGGGTAGGGGGTGGGGGTAAGGGGGGGGGTGAGTGGGGGAGCAGGGAGAGTGTGATGACTGAAATCCTGCAGGTACGTATGCCACATTATCACCCATCCGTGAGTTCACTCATCAGTGTCTTTTGTTGCGTGCCGCCTGTTGTCACGCTTTTTTTTTTAAACTGCCGCCAACAACTCATCTGTTCAAACTGTGCCATGTTTTCACACTGTGCCACGGCAGACCTTGGGAATGTGTGTGTTCAGTTTGCACCTCTGGAACTCAGCCTCTGCGTGCATCTGTCTGGGGTGTGTATGCATAAGTGGGCGTGTGGATGTTAAGAGAGTGCTCAGCGTAGAATGGAGCACAAACGCAGATTAGAAGAAAGTTTTTAATGAAGAAGAAAACTGATGCATATGTTCCTTTAGGGAGAAAAAAACGTTTTTGTTTATTTCTATTCAAATCAGAGATGGTCCCCAGAGCAGAAGCAATGACCAGACAGTTAGAATATGGGGATTTTTAAGGTAAAATATCTGCATAGTTACCAACAGTTTATTTTCTTTTTTTGCATAATTTCTCGAGATATTATCTCCTGTCTGCATGCGATATTTTCCAGTTTAAAGCAATGCCTTCTGGGATACTGGTGATCAGACAGGTGACATCGGTGTGGTGAGTCATCCTATAACATCTGTTACTGGCACCTCTGTGTCCCACTTTAGAGCACAGCCTTGCTTATGCTAAATGGATCTGATATTCAAAACCTGCAACCAATTTACCCCCTTAGACAAGCCTGCAGTTCATATGATTTATTATTAAAGGTGAATAGGTACTGAGAAATAATCTGAATGTCAGAGGCAGCCAAACAAAGAAGGCAGGGTCAGATTCCATATGCAACAACAAGACCTGACATTGACAAAGGACAACATTTGTCTTTGTGTCGGAGAATCCTGCACAGCTCGCACTGTTTGTGTGTCTGTGTGTGCATCTGTCTGATGAACTCCACAGCCATCAGAGAAAGACACAGATCACCTTTCACATTTCACCAGCAAACATCCATTTACACACTCAGGCTGTTGACATGTCACTCACTTAGTAACAGCGTGGATTACACTCCACGAGGCGCTCGAGGAGAGAATCACAGCGGAAATCCAATTTTGTGCCACATAAAATGTCAGGGTAGATCCTTCAGATTTTCTGTGATAACCACGGAGGCGGTGGGAGGGGAAGCTGAGGGAGCAAATTGTGGAGGTGCAGGAGGGGAGAGCTGAGGGCTGGAGTTGAGATTTAATGGGGGAGGGAACCGTATTGGAGAGAGGTATCCCTGCTGGCCACCAGGGTCATTTTCTGTCTGGTTGGTCTATAAACAATACTATCAATTTAATCTAGGCTGCCAATTATTTCAAGGTAGTTTTGGAAATGGATTTGATTTCTTTTGACCTGACTTAACTTATTTTTACGCAGGTAAAACTTTCTTTAAAAGGAGGTGTGTGTTTTCAGTGCGGACGCGCTCTGGACACACCTGCTGCCGGCTGCAGTGTTGCTCTCACTGCAGACACTCAACAACAGGCTTTGGTTTGTTTGCATAGCCCCTGCAGAGCAACCCCATTTATTTCTGTAAACCTGGAACATCAAACAGGTACTTTTAGCCATTGTGTACAGCCTGTTCCCTTTCTGCCGCTGACTGGAATGACAAATGGTTGAGCTGATAAGGGCTCCGCTGGCAGTAGGGAACCACAACTTCCTAGTGAGAGGCCATTAATTTGGGAATCCAAAGTGCACTTGGCATGACTTTAATGTTTTGTCATCCCCTATTACCTTTTTCTCCAACAGATACATTTTCTGTCTCCACATTTGCTTTGTTATTCTTTTGGCAATTTGAAAAGAATTACCGAGCCATTATTTTTTATGTTCTTTTGACTAATATGTCAAGTATCAGTCTTGTGGGAATAATCAAAAAATGTAAAGTGTTTTGCCTCAATTGGCAAGGGTTGATATTTCCCCCCAAATGTACTTGTCAAGTTTTTAGATTTGGGGTAATTTGCTTCAATTTCATAACGTGTTCTCTTGCAGACAAAGGCAGAGAAATAACAGACCAAAAGATAATATTATTAGGTAATACGTCATTTGTAATTAAGCAACAGATTTATAATCAAAGAACTAACGGCCTCAATTAAAGTAATAAACTGATGATATTTAAAGGTGAGAAACCAAATGTGTTTTTGATATTTAATTTTGACGTAAAAACTAGCTTAGATTCCCTATATTTCTTAATCTATTTTTTTATCCTTTTTTCTTGTTTATCCCTGTATGTTCTCACCACTGAATACAAATGATTTCAGATACCCAGCCATTCAGCCATCTATTTATCTGACAGTAATAGCTGAAACCCAACGTTCCTAAGAGAGATGACCTGAGTGGCCCCTCAGCCTGTGTGTCATTACCGCTGACCAGTAGCCCATCTCTATCTGTCCCTAATCTCATGACCTCCCTGAGAGGCAGCCAGCAGCCCGCTCCACAGAGAGGGAGAGGGGAAGCAAAGGCGAGATAGGGGGATAGAAAGTGAGGAGATGGAAACAGGAGGGATTGGGAGAGAGGAAGGGGAGCAAAGAGAGATGTATGTGGAAGAAAGGGAAAGAGGGTAAAACAGGTGAATGGCAGAGATAAAGAGTAGCAGAGAAAAATAGGAAGAGGCAGTGGCAAAAAAGGGAAGAGAAGGTGAGGTGCTGAAATGGAATTTGATGGCGAGGAGAGAATAAAAGGGAACCAGAACAGGGGGCGCAGGAAAATGAGGGTGGTGGCTGAAGAAAATAGATGGAGGAAAGAACGACAGAGATCAGGGAAAGAGATTCAAAAATGGAGAGAGAGGGAAAGAGAGAAGATGCTATTTCAAGACCATACTTACTGATAATGTCACTCTACTTCAAAGTGCAAAGCGTTCCTGTCATGCTCCTGCATAACTGTGCCCCTGGAGAATTTCCTCATAGATCAGATGATAAAAGAAAGCCTGACAGTTGAGTGTGTGCGGCTCCTTCTCCTTCTGCGTGACACAATCTGGGCTAAACTTTGACAAAATACACGGGGTCTGTGCTCCCCTCTCTGGCTTAATAAACCATAGGTCCCTAGCGGAAGGCATGCGATAAACTGACTGGGGCATTTAAGGATTAGATATTAGCTTTAAAATTTCCTTTAAGTGACTAACATAACATGAGAGCGATGAAAACACATGAAAGGAAGAATAGGTCACTGTTTTGCACCTGTTACAATAATTGTGCAGTTTGACGTGTCATACGCATGCTTTTCACTTTAACGTCCCAACGTCACTGAAGTTAATCCGTCATTTTCCCTTCAGGCACCTCTCCCATTAATGCAATATTCATTTGCAAACATGCTGGTAGTGGGTTGATTTTTTCCACAAAGTGAATGGACACTTAGTCCTGCGTGTCATCACATAAAAAAAGGTGTAGTCTTCTGGATGTTCTTGCACTCTTGACCAATGACCATGTACATACTGAAATATCTGATACTGTCAGAGTTTTTGTTTAAATTTCTTTAGTCAGCAAATATTTTCTTTGTTAAGTACGTGGTATGTATAATTACAGTTGTAGCATGACGGATTATTGTAAACTATTCTTTATGGTTGGAGTTGGTTTGAATGGAGAAAAGGTTTCACAAAAATCCCAAACCTTTTATGCTATTGTTACCCACTCTTATAACGTGTTAGCTGATATAAAAAAAAAGCTATTAAGGCATTCTATTTATAAATAATCTGCAAATGTTCTGTGAATTATTTGCGACAATCCACCATCTGTGGTAACTTGTTCACTTGAAGCAGATATAGAAGGACAATGACGTGAGTAATGGAAAAGCAAATGATTAATTCCTCTCTGCTTACAGTTTTTGCTGATTCTTTTAGCCAACAGAAAACGATTGATTATTTCTTTACTAATGCTGATACAACATTTTGGTAAAAACATGTTTTCAGACTACATTACATGAATGATGAAGTAAATATATGTTTTTAAAACATGCTAAAACAGCATTATAAGTGCTGGAAACTTTGGCTGGCAGATGAGCACAAACCACTTTGATGATGGACTGTATTTTACCTGTTGACTTCTTGCATTCATTTTGAAAGCAGGCAAGAAAAAAGCAAAATTCTCGTCTCACATAATTGAGAAAAGGCTATAATTTTTGTTAAAATCGAGATCATTTCTGTACTAGTGATTTTCTTTTACATCTCAGGAAAAACGGTCAGCAGCAAAGACATACTGTGAATTTTTGTATCTTTTGCTATTCATTCTATTTACCAAACGGCAACAAAGGTATTTCACGTCTGCCTAAACACTGTCCAGGGTTTCATTTCTCCTCTGAGTCGATTTGGTTCCAGTGTGAGTTCTGTGATTTCCCAACAGCGAGGCTTCCCTTCTTTCCTTTGCTGTCACTGAGTCAAAAAATATGGTGCTTGTGGATGCTGCCAAACTAGAATTCCCTCTGAATTAATTAGAGCGAGTTATTTAAAAAACACCGTGGCTGTGTTCCCACCACAGGCTCTGAATCAACACGCGGACGGGTGTCTCTGTTTACAGAAAACAGCAGCGTGCTCGTGACATGAATGAGAGGCACAATTTGAATGAATAGTTACAACAATTTCATATGCGCTTATAAGCTTTGATGATGGTCTTACCTCAAATGCCGTGCATCAAATGGTCTCAGTTTCAGTTAGTCCACATAAAAAATCACCTCTTATTTCATTAGCCCTGATGCTCAGGCTTTAATCCTTGGCAATAGAAAATAACCTCTGTGTTTCCTCGTCTCTTCTTTGTGCTCCTCTCAGGTCAGAGGAAGATAAGAAGACACTACTCCGCTTTGTATTCTCTTTGTGCTTCTACATGTATGCCATAGTGTGATATGGCTTTTTATTCCTATGTGATGATAAGAAAATGCTCATGTAGGAATAGAAGCCATTTTACATGTGGTGAGAGAGCAACATGACAGAGGCATGACACAAGCGAGAGCTCCAGGCTTCCTGCTCAACTGCACTCCACAGACATATGGTTGGATAAATGTACCTGTCTTTTGTTAAATGTTTCCCTGTGGTAAAGGTTCATTTATGCTCATCTTTCAGATGATGAGTGAGCTCATTGAAGTGCTCATCTGAGGGGGGAAAAATGAAGTTAGACTTTGTTGTGAGTGCACCTGTTTTTTGCCTCCAGACACAAGCCTCTCCCACTGCCTCCGCTGTTTGATGCATGTGGTGACAGATGCAGTCTACAGGGAAGCAGGAACATTTGCAAAAGTTTGCACCAACAAAAGAAGAAAGGAGCAAGGAGAGACCAATACAGATCTTTAATGACCAACTGTAAAACAGGCACTTAGTGATCCACTTTGCAACTTGCAAGAGTCACTGATTTTCCCTTTCTTTTCAATCTGATTCATTTAGCACATTATTAAAATAAAACTTTGACATGAAGCATTACACCAAACAATAATCTACCTACAATATAATACAATAGAAGGTACATACAGTATAAACAAGTTAAAGCACCTTTGTTGTCCTTGTAAATATCATTCATAATTAAACATTTGGAGCTACAGACACAGATGAATGAGTTTGTAATTTGTGTGTGGTATTATCAGTGCATTGGAAGAACTCCAAATACAGGTCTTGGGACTATGATGTCCTTGTGTGCACCTGAGTTTATACAACGGAAGCTTTCCAAATTATGAGTTTTATCTGCCTACATACGATGGACTGGGATGGTTTACACAGTATATTCAATAAAGTACAGAGAAACCAAATAAGAACAGTTGGATGTATGTACTGTAACTGCTACAGACCTCATGTTCCCTTCTGAGGACATTAGCATTCACATTACAATTAAGCACAACGTAGCACCAGGTAATGTTTATACAAAAAGCCAATAATGGTGAATGTCAATGCAGTACAGTAAAGAGTTACAAAACGAGTATGTTGAAAGTATGTATGAAAGGTACACAGACAACCGTCTATGTCACTAAGACGTCATTTGGTCCTTTTGCTAGAAGGCCTGGAAGAATCATGTGATGAAGGTTAAATGAACATGCATTTCTTAAAAGAACATACGTTACCATATTTTCAAGTATTCCTTTTCTCTCTCCATTAGGTAAATGAAATATAATCTCTTAAAGTTCAATGATTTCCCCAACTAGCATGTTCATTTTTAACCCAAGGTCCATATCTGCCATTCGCCCTCACATTTGTGTATCAAAAACACATGTACAAAAGAGACATAAAGTGACTATGTAAGGATTTAAAGATAACATTTCACAGAAAATAGCTGTGCAAACTCATTCGTCAAAATAAATTGTCTTAAACAGTTATAACTGTGAAAATTTACAGTCTCTTATTCACAGAACTCCCATACACCCCTCAGTTAATAGATTCTGATGTGTCCTTTCTCAAGGGAATTTTAAAGCTAGTGAGTTTTTGGCCAAACAGCTGACTCAGAAGATGGTTCTGGGATTCTGCTGTCCGGTAGGAATGATTGTCCATTGATCTGACCCCTGTCTTTGGCCTTGGTTTATTCAGAGAATTACTCATGGGAACTGAAGACACTTTAGATACAGGAAGATGCACAGATCTCCCAAGACCTCCCTTTTTGGCTTTATAATCCCCATTTTGAGAGGTAACAATCTCAGCCTTCTTTTGGGTACAGCTATCAAGCAAAGTTCTTTTCGTCTGCAAACTCAAGTTTGCAGTCTTGCACTTGGAAACTATTTTGTTGCTGACAACATCGTCTCGTACTGAAGCTAGCACCGGGTACTCGTTGGCTCCATCTGGTTTCCTTTGCAGAGAGGGGTTTTGACACTTGTTAGGGCGAAATTTCTTTTTGCCTTTCGAATCGATGCCAAAGTTCTCTTGTGTGGCTGGAGAGGAAAGTCGCTGCAGAATGTGCAAAGATTTGATGTCTTTCCTCCTCTTCTGAGGTTTTACAGAGTCCTTGTCCTCATTTGAGGCTGAAGCATTCAGAGAAACTTTGGAGTGGAGGACGAGAGACAGTTCCGGTGGCTTTGTGCTGCTTGTTGCGGTGCTGTTATTGGTGCTGTCACTCACAGCTGCTTCGGCAACATCGTCTTTCATCTGACTGCTACTTTCCAGTTCAGCTCCATCAGATAATACCTGCTGTTTACTGTCATCACCAGACAAAGTGGGATGCCAGGGCTCATCTTCCCTCGGTTGGTTCATCTCATCAGCTGCTAATTCATGCTTTGCAGACTCAGGTGTCTTTAAAAGGATTTGATTTTCTCTTGAGCTGACAAACGAATTCTCACTAGCCGGAGGCAAATCTGTTTTCCCTTCATTTTCAGTAGTGTCTCCTTCCTTAGCTTCAACCACCTCCTCCCCCACACTACTACTCTCTTTGGATGCTTCCCATGAAGCGTCCTCTGCTCTTATGCAGACCGTCTCACTCTCCTCTTTCACATCACACGTTTCGGTAACTGATTTTTTATTGTCCTGCTCATTGAGATTAGTTGAGGGGGTAGGGTCAGCTTCTTCTTTCTTGGGTTTAGCAGAAACCAAAGAGCTCCTGTGAATGCATTTCTCCAACGCTACAAGTAGCTCGGAGTAGTCGTCTTCGGTCTTCACATTTGTATTGTTTTTCTCATTGTGGTATTCATTTGGGATGGTCTGTGTGGAGTCATCGGCGGTGGACACATAGGGTTTTGAAGGCTGTACGTCAGCGTTCTGATTTAAGTGCACGGAGCTCACACTGGCAATGCCGCTGTCAGAGCTATTTTCTTGCAGGCTGTCAGAGAGAATTCTCCTCTTCTTACTTGCAGGTGAATGACATTCATTTTCTTTTGCCGCTGATGCTTTGACAGGTCGAAGAACGCCTCGGAATTTGAAAATTTTGTTCCCCCCTGACAGGTGCTTTTCCATGTGACGATCAAACTGCTCTTTCTTAGAGAAGGTGTAGTTACAGGTGCTGCAGATGAAGGATTTTTTAATAACATGCATGACATCAGCACAGAGCTCACAGGTGTAAAGGGTGGTGTGCTTTGAATCCAGCTCATCCACCTCTTCGTGCGCTCTCTTCAGATGATCTTTGAGCTCCTGCGCCTCCTGATAAGAGACGGGGCACTTGTGGCACAGGAAAATCCTCTCCAAATTGTGCACCACCAAATGTCTTTGCAGTTTAAAGGGTTTGGGGAACTGTTTCCCACAGTGGTGACAGTCTCTTGAGGGATCTTTGCAGTTGGGATGTATTTCCACACTTTTATTGCTCTCTATTTTGTGAAGGACCTCAAGTGGGGTCAATGTGCTCTGCTTTCCAGCTGCTCCACTGCAGGGTTTGGTTTTGAGGGGTTTTGACTCGGCCTCTTCCGAGGTCTTCCCCTCTACCACAGCGGTGTCGTCAGCTGGTGCTTTTTCCTGTTCTTTTTCCTGTTCTTTTTCCTGTTCTTTTCCCTGTTCTTTTTCCTGTTCTTTCGTAGGTTTACTGGACTCTCGGCTGGATTTGGTGGGGCGGTGCTGCATGATTGAGGAGATAAAGTTCTTGACGGCTGTCTCTTGCATGAAGCAGCCAGGAATGCCTAGCATGGAGCTTTGAGTCTGACCTCTCCTGGCAAACTGAGTGGCGTGCTCTCTTAGGTGTTCATTGTACATCCACACATCCGATATCTCCTTCAGACACATGCCACAGGTCCAGATGCCAGTTTTATTCTTGGCATGCTTCTCCCTCAGGTGGTCTCTCAGCTGCTCCCTGGAGCTGAATTTGCGCTGGACGCACATGTAACAAGTTGGAGGTGGAGAGGGGTTGTGGGAGAGCTTGTGAAAATTCAGCTCCCCAAGGGTGAGGAACCAAGTGAAGCACACTTTACATTTATACTGCTTATCTTTGACCTTTATTCCTCCGTCCTGTCGTTTCCTGCCTCGGCGCTCTGTGACCTTCCTGGACTTTTCCTCATCTCTGTTCTCCATGTCTGCAGCTTCACGAGGAGGAGCAATCGATATGTCTTTATCGGAGTCAAAGAACTGAATCTCAGGAAGCTGGAACGTGGTGTTGATGTTTTGGATGTCGATGCTGTGGAAGGTTTGGACACCCTCTGTGACACTAGGCTCCACTGCGTATGGGGCAGCTTGCAGAGGCAGAGGGCAGACCACCACTGGCACATCTGGTTTACAAACACTGGATTCAGGGGTTACTGCGGAGCAGGTAGTAAAGTCCCCAAAGTCATTGGGGCTGCTCCATTCTATTGAAGATTTATCAACAGTGCTCTCCGGAGGATTTAAAAGGTTGTTGCTAAGCTCTTTCATCCTCTCTTGAACATCTTCTTTCTCACTTTGCTTAACCTCTGGCGATATCTTACTATCAGCCTTTATGGTGCTGTTGTGGCACATGTTTAACATGATGGCATCATCAATTGAAATGGTCTCATATTCACAATGGTTAGCCTGGCTGTCAGTGAATGCATGCTCACTGTGGGCTGCCGGATACTGATTTTTGTTTTGCATGAAGGTTTGAGGCTGAATATAGGCCGTGGTCGCGTCTGAATGGGGAGATAATTTTTGCCTTTTGTTTCTTTTGCTGTACACCCTCTGGCATTTTTTCCTTTTTGCCTCCGTATCTCTAGGAAAAAGCTGCGAGAATGTGGTGTCATCGTCGAGCAAAGCCTTCAGATCGGGGCTCATGCTAGGTGGACTGAGAGGGGAGGAATTCAAACAGGAGAGAGGGTTGAGATTATCTGAGGGGCTCCTGTTTTTCTCACATTTTATCTCCGTCGCCACTTTACTCAGGATCTCTTGGGCAAGGCTGTTCCCCGATTCTTTCAATTCACACATATCCTCCACAGTGCACAGAGTCATCCTGGACTCATCACATTCTCTGAGACTCTCCTTCCCAAGGGATTCACTTTCCATGTTATTATCTGCACACGGTTCCAAATTTGCCATTTTTGTAACGCTTGCACATTTCATCACCTCTGTGTCAGTGATCTGATTTAGCTCCACAGTTCCACTCAGTACATTTGGTGCTTTTGTTGGAGACATTGTAGTATTGTCAAAAGCAGAATTTGAGGGACTGTGGTGAGGGAATTCCTCCGTTCCAACAGCAGCTCTGTCACTCATTTTTATATTGGGGGATTTGCACTGCTCTTGAAGTGTGCTGCTTTTGAATTCAGGAGTTATTGCTTGAAGTATATCTGTTTTCAAAATGTTCAGAAGCTCATCAGAAAAAGGGTCAGGATTTAACTTGGTGTTCTTATTCTTTCTGGCTTTGCTGTTCCTCTTTGTCTTCACAGGCAGCACGGGGTTTTGATGTCCTATGTCATCAACGACCACTCCACTTATCTCTGTCGTCATATTTTCCAGGGCTGACTTAGTCTGTGCTGTTTTAGATATGATAGAGCCACTTATCTCAGGCCGCCCATCTGTTTTTCTAGGAAAACAAGTTTGTGAATCATCCTTGTGTGTTTTTTCTGCGCTTTGCAATGCTTCGTAAATAAGCACAGTCCCTTGATGGTTTGATGCTGTGTTCTGAGGGCCAGAATATTTCTCGGCTCTGATCAAATGCTTCATGGCCTTATGTCTCTTTAAGCCCGGTACAGTTCTGAAACACATTAAACAAATCTCACAGAGCACTTTACCCTGTTGAGCGTTGCTCTGTGTCTTTTTTGGTGCTCTTTCTTTGCGGGGCTGGTGAGTTGCTGAACGTTTTCCAGGCTCAATAGTTGGTTGTTTCTCTGAGGGGTCTGGTGGTTGGGGCATTTGCTTTTTTTCGCAGATGATGAGTGGTTGAGGAGTGGGTGGACCATCTGAAAAGTCTTTTTTTAGAAGAGCACTGTCTTCAACAGTAACCTCTAAAGATTCTAAATTCTGTAATTCATTTTTGCTCAGGAGGTCAGTATGTCTGTGCAAATGGTCTGCAGGTTCAACTGGATCATGGTAATCCTCCAAGCTTTCCTTTCCATTAGTAGATAAGGAGTCTGTCCCTTTGATTTCAGCCGGTAAACCCAGTGCAAAACATGCCAATTTCATGCCCTGCTGGAGGACCAGTGGTTTATCTGATGGTTGTATTTTAGCAGCAGGGTCTGAGTTCAGTGACACTGCTGCTTCTGTCCCAGATTGGTAAAACATCAGCACAGGGCTAGCACTCATGTCACAAGATTTACAGTCAGCTGTGGGTCTCTGCTTGCTGTCCTCAGCTTTACAGGCAGGGGATATAGGCATGTAGTCATACTGATTAAGCTGTGGATTCTCATCTGAGATTCCGTTGTAGTTGAGAGGGCTGAGCTTTAAATCATAAATTAAATGACTTTTTTCAAGGGCGTCCGTCGCCTCTGGTGGTCCTGACGTGCTGCTCACAGGAAGCGGAGAGGAGACTGTGCTTTCAGAATGGGGGATTTTACACTCCACAATTGCCAGGTCCAAGTGAGGTGTGCTTATCAGCGAGCAGCTCATCTCAGCCGTTCTGTCCATTGCATCACTGATCACAGTCTCTTTGATGTTTTGGCTATCATCTTTGCTTATGAGCGATTCTGCATTTTGAACCAAGGCCTGATCAAGAGATTCATCGTTGCATTTATGTTCGGGCTCACATGAATCCCCTTCTCTGTCAGATTTCTGCATGGCTCCCTGTTGAGATGGTAACAGCGCGCTGACTGGTGAGGCGGTGCCTGAAAAGACGCAGTTACTTTCCACTGCTTCCTCTCTGCTCGGGGAGTTCTGCTGACTTGCCATGAAATCAACAGGAAGATCCTCTTTGATGTCTTGAACATTTAGAATATCTTCTTGTTTGTGAGTGGACTCAAAAACAAGACCTGCTTGGGCTTTCAATGAGTCCTTATATGGAGTCATATTGCAGGCATTGCTGTTAATGATGCCATCAGACTGTGATAGGATCAAAAGATCCCTCTGTCCCTCAATAGACTGGCTGTCATGGAGAGGTGAGCTGCATTCCATATTAGTTTCCATCCCTACTGGACGGCAGGGCTTGTCTGTGGTAACAGACAAATCAGCTTCACTGAATGTTCCTAAAGGGCTGGAGTTTTTACACGGGGCAAGAGCAATCACATGATTTTGTTTTGATGTTTCAACGGTCACTTTCTCAACTATATTGTCCATTGTCAATTCACATTGACGTGATGAACTAATGTCTTTGACACTGTCGTGTTTATAGCCAGGCTGTTGTTCCTGTGGTACTTTAATCACATCTGGTGTTTTCTCTCCGATGTCTCGACTGGAATCAGCTAAACTGGGTGATGAAGAATGACCCTCGGGTTGAGGAATGAGTTTCTCCGCTGCCTCTGACTCCTTATGGGTCTCTCCATGTAAGTATTCTCCGCCAGCATCGTTGTTTTCGATCCCTTGATGCACATTGTCCTCTGCATAACTGTTCAAGGAGGATTTCTCTGCCCTGTTTGAGTTATGTGTCACAACACTTGAGCAGTGAGGAGGCTGAGTCAAATGACTGTTTAAAGGGATGTTTTCCTCTGATGTGACTTTAGCCTCTGCTGTGTAATCCCAGTTCATGGTGGGGTCATTTAGCTGTTGTGAAATTGGCAGATTGCCAATGACTAAAGTGTCAGGGAGAGTTGACTGTGACTCATTGAGAATTATTTCAATTTCATCCTTCCGCTCAATGATATTTGGAAGTGATGAAATTCTCTCCTTTCTGCTCATTTTCTCCTTTTCACAATGATCTTCACTCTCAACAGTGCTCTGACATTTAGTTTTTTCATGTTGTTGGCTTGTGAGTGCGCTGACATTTGGCTTCTTAATTCCTGATATGATAGGCTTTTTGAATATTGAGTCAGAAATCACTTCTAAACTTTTCATTAGATTTTCTCTGTATCTCGTCTGCTCTAGAATCTCTTCTTTTGTTACTACAGAGGTCTCCTTGTCAACACTGAGCTCCTCTGATTTTTGCCCAGAAAGGAGATGTTGGTCCTTTGTTGCCGCCGGTTCATTGTGAATAGGAGTTTGATGGCTCTGATGATCACCCATGAGCTCAAACTGAAAGGCATCAGGCCATTGGATTGCTGGTTCTGTGAAAGGCTCTGAGGGCATTGAGACTGCTGCATCTATCTGCTCTGAGCACTTCAGGCTCAAACTCCTGCCGTCACTCAGGGACTCATCCCCCAAACGTAAAGGTGAAAATTTGCTCATTTGCAGCTGCTTCGGGACCTCCTGAGCCAGCAGCGGTGGGCTTTCCAACTTAGTCGTCTGCAGCTGGTTTTCAAGCTCATTCACTATTCTCTTTATCTCCAGCTCATCATCTGATGCACAGCTGTTGAGATTTGCACTGTAGTCAATTATTTTTTCTGGCAGAGACAAAGGAACATGATCGTAATCTGGCTTCTTTTCATCTGATTTCTCAGAGTTTCCTTTGTACTGAGATATCTCATCTGGTAGCACGGGGCTAACAATGAGGTTCCAGTCTCTTTGTTCCAGAAAAGTGGAGAAAGAAGACACAAACTCTTCCTTTTTATCAGCTGGGTTGTCAATTGAATGGAAGCCATCTTTCTGAATGGGCATCTCAGAGTAAAGGCCGCTGTCAAATCCTGTCAGATCCCCAAACATTGATGAGGTGTCAAATGAAAGCGGGGATTTCATGAGTCCTTGCTCCTGATCCAGGGGGTAAGGTATCAGGTGAAGAGCATCTTTTTGGCCTCCCGTTGGGGACCCACACACCTCATCCATCAAAGACGCGCACAGAGGTGCAGGTTTGTGTGAGTCCAGGTCACTGACTGAGCTAATAGCCTCCTTAACCATGCAGACACTGTCACTCTGTTTCTCCATTCTGGTGGTGACTGATAACTCTGGCTGTGTGGCTTGGGGCTCCTCTTCTCTCTTGCCCTTTGTGCTTCTGTCAGACTTACAATAAGTTTCTTTAATGATGGTAGGAGACAGAGAATCAAACTGTAGTGACTTGTTATTTAAGCTACTGCACCCCGTTGGTTCTTCTTTGGTGCACACATTGTCAGTTTTCTGCTGGACGTTTCTGTCTGAGCAGTCGTTTGAGCCCATTTCATTTTTATGAGATGCAAGTTTCTCCCTTGATTTTTTATTTGAGCTTGGCCTTTTTTCAGAGTTCATAATAGAATCTTGAGCTTTCAGTGAGGATGATGGTTGATTGGTGGGCTCGGAATTTGATTGATACTTTCTCAAATCTTCTTGGCCATCTTTGTCACCAGAATAAATGGCTTTTTCTGCATTGTACTTTTTGACAGATTTAGTGAATGTTAGTGCCAGAGTGCTGGACTCTTTAAAAAACTTCTGTGGTGAGGACCTGTCATTGGTTTTTTGCTCTGGAGAATCTCTCTTTTTGTCCGTCTTTCTCTCGCTGTCTGAATCAGTGCGGTCAGTGCTTTTGGGGCTGTTGATGCTATCGCCGGAAACGCTCACAGATGTGCTGAGGTCACTGCTCGTGGATGACCGGCTGCCTCTCCTCCTGAGTTTCTGATGAGAGCCATGTTTCTCAGGCGACAGAGACAACTCACTCTTTTTCACTTCGAAACACTCTTTGGACTCGTGTCTCCATGCTGCCCGGTCCCTCTCGCTCCGCGCTCGCCATTTGCACTCTTTGGTGTACGTATATTTACAGCGACTGCTCTGATTCAGTCGGCCTTGGCTTGCTATCTTTACGGGCTCACATTCATCATCTGAGTCTGAGACGTAGTCGTACTCTCCGAATGCAGGGTTCTGCACCGTGGGAGCGAGTCGCTCCATCACCAAAGAAAACTGGAGGTTTTTGGTACCTTTAACATGAAGCTTGTGAAGTTTATTTTTCTGTTGAACTATTTTGTGGATCAGTTCTTTGCTCCAGGTGCCCCCTCCAGTGCTTTTCCTCTTGCTTTCTTTTGCAGAAGCTCTAGCTGTAGGAGATGTAGTGGCTTGTGAGGGTGCTGACCCTCGGAGCGCAGAGCTGTCCTGGAAGGTTTTCACTCCGCAGCGCTCAGAAAACTTGCTGGATAAGAGAAATCTTTGTGTGTTCGTGTTTTCCTCCTCACTCTTACAGAGCTTTTTTGCCTCTTTCACTTTGCTCTCTTGCTCCCACGTCCTTTCCCTTGAGGCAGTTCTTGAATTTTTATGAGAGACTTCCTTTTTAATGTTAATTTTCTCATCTTGTTCCAAATTCATAGACACTTTCTCCTGGCTTTCAACATCAGAATCATAAAAACACTTTCCCTGTGTGAAAGATCTGTCATCGGCAGCTTGTTTACTTTTGCTCTCAAAAACCAGCGATTCTTTTGTTTTCAGACATTGTTTGTTTGATGATGTTTTGACGGTGGTGAGGTCATCATCAACAAATGCATCGATAAAACTGCTGTCTATCTCGGCATTGTCTGACTGATATCCCAGCCCGTTTAAAGCTTCTGTAATTAGGCTGTCTAATTTGGCATCTTCTATTTCCAGCTCTGGGAGAGGCACAGGGAGGTTACCTGAACCTGAAAACAAACTGAGTTTCAGTGGATCATCCTTAGTGTCTATCTTCGTTTCACTGTCAGATATCAATTCTCCATTTTTGTTGAGGCCCAACAAAGACAGGTGAAGATCAGATGGACACCTTGATAATGAAAGATTTGACACAACAGAAACTGCTTTAACTGGTTCTGCGTGGAACTTTTTGTTGTCATCCATCTTTGAAAGGTCTTTAAGGTCATTTTGTGCAAATGTGTGATGAACACAGTATTGCTTGTGGCCTAAAAAAGAAGCCAGGTTGTTGAAATTCTGATCACACTGTTTGCATGTCAGAAGCACATCCAGCTGATCGAGATTCGCTGTGGCTAATGAGCTTGTTAACAGCTGGTGTGCAGAGTATGGGGGTGGAGGCTGCTGATGCTCCACCCCAAAACTATCCAGGTAACCTTTGCTCCCGTCCATTGTTGTCTTCGGAGGTGTACTGTTCTGCAGATAGCTCATCATGTCATCTTTGGCTCTGTCAGGTGCATAGGGAAGAGGTCGTGGGGCATCAGAATTAAACTGGTGGCAATGCGTGCTAAGCTGATCTGAGGGTAGCTGAGTTTTTCCTTGGGGCGGGTGATAGAAATGGAGAGCAGCTGACTTTGACATTTGACTGTCCTCTGAATTGATGTTGACTGGGCTGGTGGATGCTGGGGAGAGGGACGAGCAGGTACTATTAGATCCAGGCTTATGGACTGGAGAGGGCAAAGGGGATTCATACGGTGACACCATCATAAGCCCCATAGGTGGGACCTGTAGTGGTGGATATGTGTAGTTTCTTGGTGGCACTGCAGGAAGAGACTGATTGAGTTCGAAGTATACAGCCTTATTCTTGGACTCGCACACCTGCGCGTGGCTCATCTCGACTTTAAAAGTTGAAACCGTGTTACTGTTGTGTTTAACAGTATCCTGCCTTTGGTTTGAAAAGCCCTCACTTCCTCTGCCGTTCTGGAATGAGCTGGAGTTCTTTAGGGGGTTGTGCTTATGTAATTTATTCTCTTCTTGCCAGTCAGACGGGGAAACTATATAAGCCATTTTTTGATTGCTGATATGTTTAGTTAACTCTACTCTGTTTGAGTTTGGCATGGCAGTGTTTGGTCGAATCTGCTGCCAGGGCATCCTGGTACCTTTGGAGGAATTTGACCTTTGGTCAATAGCTGTCTGATTCTGTAATGAAAACTTCTCGTTCATATCAGTATACTGAATTTTGTTCTGATCCGCTGATGAATAGGTCTTATTAGTTCCTTCCCACGAATGTGCTAACCTATTCAAAACCTTATTATTGATGTTTTTATCAAATGGCATTGAGCCTGTGCGATTGTTACCAAGCGGTGGATTGTTAAATGTTCTGTTGGGAAAGTGCATTGGGGAGCCTGGACCTTGTGAAATATTTCTTGCATGCTGACCTCCTTGTATGAGTGCTCTTTGTTTGGCAGTTATGTCTTTGGGGTGACAGTTTCTCTTAGTTCCCGAGGTGATAGCTGCATCCCGACCGTCAGTCTGTACAATAGTGTCTGCACTCTCGGGCAGGACAGTCTTCCCCTGTTCTGACTGCTGCGAGCTGGAGCCAGAGCTGTCGCTGCCGCCTGAATCCTCACTCAGATTTCTGGGACACTGGATGGATGATGCCACCCCTTGAATAAATTGTGAATGTGGGGGGTGAGAATAAGAACCTCTATCCTCTGGCTGGTGTTCACTACTGAACTGAATGCTGTTTTGACCAATGTTCTGCCCTTCTCCAGAGGTAAAGGAAAAAGAACTGTGGGCAACATGAACAGAGCCCAGAGAAGAGTTTGTGAAGTCTTGGGATTGGGGGTTCTGTTCACAGGGAAATGAGTCAGAGGTTGATTCCTCCATTAAATGATATCCATACTGAAATGAACCAGATATAAAAGAACTTGCCTTACTGGTTTCTGAGAGAGCAGCAGATTTTTTGGAAGGAACTCCATAATTACTAAAAGTCCTTTCAGCAGACTGCCATGTATTAGAACCACTGAGCTGAAAATCAGCCAGGAATGGCTGTGTGCTGTTGCTCTCCATTGATGCCGGCTGCTGTTGCTGTGACAGGGGTGGATGTGGGTGGGACGATGTTCCACTTGAGGAACCCAGTACCTGTGAGGTATAGCTTGGAGAGGTAATGTTTTGAGGAGTCTCCTGGAAGCAGCGGCTATAGCTGAGCTCTTGTTGCTGTAGTTCAACCTCTCTCTCTGGTATACTGGGAGTGTGGAATCTGTAGCTGCCCGAGACTGGGCCACGACTCGTGTCCAACTTCTTGGGTGGCGAAACCTTCTGCTGCGGGTAGGCAATACCAACTGTGCGTGGATTTGTAATGCTTAGTCTGTACAGCTGCTGTGGGTTGCCACGCTCTGTCTTTCCGGACCGCTTTGTCTTTTCTCGGCTGCGGCCCTTTCCACTTGGTGACTGGGGACTACCTTTCCCACTCGGCCAAGCCCTGTCAGTGGCAAATTTTGATCTGTTCTGTAGTGATCTGAAGTCAATCTTCCCGGCCTGCTGTGGCCGTATGACCGCTTCACGCTGCTGCGGACAGTCCCTTTCCTTCTCTAGTTTTTCAGCTCTGGCCACTCTGCTGCTGAGCCTGGCCTCAGTGCCCGTGCTTGAAAAGTGCTGCGAAGAATCCTTTGTGATTTTGTCACTCTGCTGCTCCAGCGCCGGCCCCTCATCCTGCTGTTTGGACTCAGCATCCAGCTCTTTGACTGTATGCATTTGCTGAGTCTCTCCTGCCATGGTGCACAGCTTGTGCATTTGAAGGCCTGGTCCTCAGAAATGCTATCTGGGAGACAGGGACATCATCTTCTGGGTAACTGCGTTCAGTAAATATCCAGTGGCAGGAACTGCAGGGATAGGGCTGTTGGCTGAAAGCTCATCTCTTTACCCTCATCGTGGACTGCAGATCTGGCACCGAAGCTAAGCAAACCTGGAAGAAAAAGAGAAAAAAGAATTGCGTTTGAACTTGTTTTTTTTATTTTTATTAAAACATGTAATTTAAGGGATTATTTTATATTTCACCCTTTCATAACTGGTTCCATAACCTATAAAATAGTTTTACTTTCATGTGAAGGCATACCATTAAAAAAATGATTTCAGATATTAATATGAGAAACATCTTCACGTAGAGTAAATTAAATTTGTGAATCTAATGTTTCCCCACAATTAGTTGATGAATTTGTGAAACATTAAGTGCAGATGTAAAATGAGCTCTTTCTGCCAGTAGAGGGCCCCATTGTATCACAGCAGCAGAGCTTCTGCACCAACCTAAAGTAAACAAATTCCTTCTCCCATTCAAAAGTAGTCTTGCAGATAATACTGACATGTATGATTACTATTAACAACACGGCCAAGACATTTTTACCATATACATATACATTTTTGCTCAATAGCAGTGAATTGATGGTGTGACAAGTTTGAATGCAAACAATAACCCAAAACTATGGTCATAAAGATGAAAAGCACTACAGAACTGGGGATAAAGAAAATATAATACATGGATTAAAAAAACATTGCCAGTAAATGGATCACATTCTCCTTAAGAGCACGGACACAATGCCACAGTGTTCTGTCCAGGTTTAGATCATGGAGGAATATCGAGGATTAGTCAGCCAGGGAGAACAGTGGGCACAGTGACGTTTGTTGCCTTTCCTCAGGCATCCCAGACACCACTTCTCTGGTCAGAGTTTACTTTGGCCTTTTGCTTCCTTTGACGTTCAACCAAATGAAACCTGGAGTTAACACCAAAATGTAATTTCTAGGCACAGTAACCAAACTTTCATCCCACTCTCCTGTCTGCCTCCCATGGTCTCTACCAATCCTGGAGGTGGTTTCTGGTAGGAGAGCTACTATTTACCTTTGTTTTGGCTACCATCATTCATACTGAAGAAATATGGAGGAACTGCTACTACTAACTTATTGAAAATAGAGGCTTATAAACTTGATAGCATAGGCTATTTTTCCCTCAGGAAACAACTACTGTCTAACCTATCCCCTATAAGATGCATTTGCCTGTCTGCATCATGAGTATTCAAACCAGCTGGTCAAATGTGCAAAGATAAAAAAGATACTGTAAATATCTTGATCCACATAAATCTCACAGGAGATTTTGTTTTAAAGCATCCCAGGGCCATTTTGGGATCAGCACTTGATTTTGTTTCTTTTCTGAAAGCCTCTTTATCTGACCAAAGCTTATACTTTATTGGCTAACTTGAGGTAATGCATTGATTTAATTACTTAAAGTACTCAACATTTTCCTTTTTTTAAAACGTCAAAAAAACAAATGAAGTTTTCCCTAAACATGCTCTTAGATGGAGGTATAGTATCCTTTTTCTACTTTTGACAAACAAACTGCTAAATTTTAGCAATGTACATGTAGCTTGGACTTGGTTGGACTTCCTTTTTTCAGCACATCAAAAACTCCTTTTGTAGATATCTTATTTGATCATGTCAGCATAAAGCCTGTGAACAGACCCACAAAGCACATCTCCACAACACTTTTTTTTTTTAACCCTGGCACAACAAACCATAAAATATCCATGCAGTGCACTGAAGTTTAATAAATCTGGGTGTTGGTGTGAGACTAGCTTATCAAGCTAAACTCAGACAATTGAGACGGGAGAATATTGCATTAAAAAGCAATAACGAAACATGAATACATTTTACATGGCTAAAAAGTGCAAAATGTCTAATTTATGGTTAGATTTGGAAATCAGAAAACAATGAATATGTGAAAGAACAACCTTTTTTAATTGCCATGTGTGCAATGGATTCCTGAGATTCAACCACATAATCAGGACCCTATAGTCATCTTATAGATGCCACTTTGCAAATGGAAAAACAGGAAATGTCTCCATTTTATTTATTCTGGTGTGTGTTTCCTTGTTCCTTCCTCTGGTAAATCTTCCAGAGGTATTTAACAGGTTGAGAGGACGAATTGAAGCTGAGACCTGGCTGGGTTTAGGCCTGGTTGTGAAAAATCACATCCACTTTACAGCTCTACAGAATCTGAAAGCCAGAGTGTTTGCAGCTATCTCTGCCACAGGTAAGGGAAACTGGGGTTAATGGCCCTGCCAGTTTCTCCAGCAGGTATCGCTTGATCCAGATTCTCAAAGTCAACAGTCGCAATCATAAATCATAGCTCCAATTGTATTTGCTCAGACCGGCTGCTGCGGTTTGAGCCTTAAAATGAATGCCTGTTGCAACAAAAAGAGCAGTATCAGTATCACAGGAACCTTAGAGAAGTAGCACCAGAGCCCGAGATGTCAATTTACAAAGAGTAAGGAGACATTTATGTCCATACAAATGCCTTGTCGGCTTCCCCCTGCAGCCCTGTGCTGAATAGTAATTTTTCTTGACTCAGTCTCCTCAATAAATTGGAATTACTTCATACACAGACTTTATGCTTGTTAATCTGCTGATTTTGGTTTGTCTTATTTAGTTTTAATTAGTATAAATTATAAAAGTATAAATTGCTGTTGGACTGTGTATAAAGAGAGTGTGGTGGTGACACAAATGCAAGCTGAGCACAACCTGATATCAAATCCTGAGGGACTGGTCCAAAATTCGTCCATAAAATTGCGTTTTAGTGGAGTTTTACAAGACAATTAAGGCTGTGTATGTGTTTGCATTCTGTGGGCTCCTGTCAGATCGCGGAGTTTCTCATGCAGTGGCGCCCCATATGGCTTGACCACAACACCACCCTGATGCTTGAGATTGCTGAGTGTGTTTGTGAGCTTGTGTGTTTGTGGCATAGACCCATATGTGTTTTGGTGTATGTGCTGGTACCTAACTTTAACAAAAGTGGATACACCTTTTTTTCCATTACCCTCACACGGGTCTATGTTGGTTTTTCACAAGAATGAGGGAGTGGTTAAAAGGTGCTTGAATGAAAACTCAATTTCCTGAAAGTCTTTTTCCTGTCATTTTGGTGCAGGATGTATTTGGTGTTAGGTTGAGTGAATAAATGGTGGTAACACTAAGAAAATCTCCGTCCATTCATCACATCCACGCTGTAGCTGCTCTTGAAGTTTCTATTTTCCAAGAAACCAAAACCTCACAGAAGGTCAGTATATCTCAAAGTCAGTAAACTTAAAAGACAACAGACTCTCTTTCTATCAGCTTCTCAAAATTGCTGTTGATGTGTATTCTGTAACAGGAGAGCACCCCAAGGTGATTGCAAGAAATGGTAAAAGCAGACCATAGATAGACAGTGTAGCACTTTAACATTTGCATAAATACCACAAAAGCAGTTATATCCTGAAGACAATGACTCTCCAGAGACATAGAGCTCTAATAAGCCAATGGAGGGGCAGCAGCAGGGCAAGCAATCCACTTTTATAAACAATGGTTTCCTTTATATTAACCTAAATTAATAACTGGCATTAGCAGGAATTTCCCAACTTTTCCAGATGCTTCTACACCGCTGAAATATCATCACAAAATGATCTCAGAGAAAGAGAAAACAGATGAAGATGAGAGACGGTGAGGTCAGATGCGAAGGAGAGAAGCAACGAATAGCCAGGGAATGTGATTGAAGAGCGGGGAACTGGTAAAAAAGGACGATTTGTCAGGAAACAAAAGGAGACGGGGGTTTCGGCATGCGTAGCCCAGTAGGCTGCGCAATCTGAGGGATGCAGGGGGAAGGATCAGGTGGCAGAATGAGAGCTCACAGACTGCTCCCCTCACACCTCTTCCAGCACACGTGGTCCGGCAGAGGCAAGGCGCAGTGAGAACAGCTGGCCGAGGGCCCGAGCCGGGGCAGGCTGCCAGAACCTTGGTCAGCATGCCTGCCTACTCCTCTGTATTTTTGGAAACATCCATTATGCAAGCATCTTGCCTTTAAGATCTCAGGGCTTATGTCTGTTTAAAGGCAAAAAAACAGATATGGCGGAGACATCTTAACCGTTCGGCTACCGCGCAGCTTTTAAGAGCCGCTGATGTTTATGTGTGAACAGTGGTGGCCTGTCAGTACTCTACAACTGTATGTCTTGATCGGTTAAAATACAAAGGATTTCTATTGAGTGATTTGTTTGACATTTTTCTTTGAAGTCCTCAGAACGTTTGAAATACGATGATGTTTGAGGTCTTCAAATTAAATAGAGAATACAGTTATACTCTTGCCTCCATACCACCACTAACTTAAACCCACACCCCGGGAGAAGATACAGCGAGTGTGTGTCTGTGTGCATTCAAGTGTGTGTGCATGTCTAAGAGGTTCTGGCGTGTAATTCCAGGGGCTCCCCTTACCCCCTCAAGTTTTTCCTCCCCGTCAGACAAGTTTTTTCTTTTATTTATTTATTTTTTCTAACCACTGGATTCTGCACTCAGCCTGTTTCCATAATGCTAACCACAGCATTCCAAAAACATGATGGAATCTTTGTTTTATAGGTTATTTTTGCCTAATATTTCCCAGAGTTCTGAATATCAATGGAAAAATGCTAGTGTCGGTTTGAGTACAGTGTGTGATAGACTGAAACGTGACTAGGTAGGGAAGAGGAAATTATTGAAAGGTTAACCTAGACAAAATTTCCTGAGTCCTACTTATAGCCACAATAATCTTATCTTTAAAGGACAAAATCCTTCTTTCAGGTGTAATTCCTCCTGCATTCCATTTTCAACGGGTCAATATTTGCTTGTCCTTATTTCTGTCTGGGCAAAAGTATTCAGTTGCTTTTCAAAATCATTAAGGTTTAATTAAATGTAAAAGAGACTTGGATGGAATGAAGAAAGGATTGAATGGTGTTATGCAGACTCCACTGTAACCACAGCAATGAGTTGCCTTTCAAATGTAACTAGGACAGAGTTAGTATAAAAAAGTTAACACAATCGATAATCCCGTATTCATAATTTAAGACACCTTTAGCGAAATGCCATCTCGGTTATATCTTAAACAATAACTCTTTATTTTGGGCTTTTATATATGCTCAGTATCATTTCATGAACAAATACGAAGAAGTAACTGTGTACTCTTAGTTTAGATTGATTTAGTTGCATCTGTGATAATGCCAAAGACAACATGGTCTGGTTTAGTTTAGTAAAAAACAAACAAAAATACATTTTTAATCAACAAAACCATTCCTAAAGGGATAATTAAGCACTGGGTGTATATAAGTGTCTTGTGTCCTTAGAGTATTCCAAGATGCTGGGCAGCCAGAGGACAAATGAGGAAGGAGCAGGGATAAAAAAAAAGAAAATTCCACAATCAACATTATTTTAAAGTAAAAAAGTGAAGACCTCACACAGAACCTTAGAGATGCATTTAATCTCTTATTGGTCAAAGCCTTATAAGAAAAGGTCTCCATAGAAGGGTGGTTATCAAGAGGCAATTCTTAAGAAAGAAACCCTGAAGAAAAGGGCTAAGGTATGTGAAAAAAAGACATGGAATGGAGGGGGGGAATCCTCCCCACTGCCCCGATTTCAACATTGCTGTAGTGTTTGATCTCTAGACATAGAAGAGAACAAAAGCCTGCAAACATCCACTGAACCGCTTTATGATTGTCCTTCCAGAGCCGGAAGACCTACTCTTACAGTCTACTTAAAGAAATGATAATATTAGTGTTCATACTGTGATGAGAATAAGGGGGATCACGACAAATATTAATTATCATGCTTTGTAGAAAGTACCTCGAGGTAAACAAAGTGAATGAGAAATTTCACTTCAGCTCTTCTCAAGAAAACAATACATTAAAATTGTTTTAATTGTCTATCAAACTGCTGAGGAAAACTTTATTACCAAACGACAACACATTCTTATCATCAAAATAGTACGTATGTGCAAGATGAAGACAGATGTCCTCTTTATCTTAGCAAAAGTGTTTACATGATGATTTTTTTAAATCAAGAGATGAGACAAATATTATTGGAATACATATCTCAAACTCTTATCTTAATCTTTCTAGTTCTATGATGATATAAACACAGATGTGTACAGACCCACACTCCCTACTCCAACTTTATAAAGAGAAGTAAGAACTTTCTGTTTATCTATTATCTACTTTAAACATTTTTTTGGCAGTGCTATGGTCACTCAGTGATTTCTGCAAGCATAACTTAACAGACTACCATTGATGCAATGCCTCTCAAGAAATGTATCATGGAGGAAGCCTTTTATTTACGCAGGAACTGCATGTTTTGCTCCATTACCTCAAGGAAGCCAGAGGCAGTGAGTGGAGTGTGGGGCCACCACTACATAGGTGAAAGTCCAGAGATGGGACTGGGCCTGCAGAGGCAGAGTTACAACCCAAGTGTCAGTGGCCTCTGGGGACCCAGCCTTTTCTTTCTGACCCATCACCCTCCTGACCATGAATCACTGAGCAAACGCACCTTAGACAAGCGTGCACAGACAGGCAGCGGTTGTATATAACTGAGTCCTCCAGCCACTACGTTTGGACTGAAGCTCCCATTTCCTCATAGATGATGCATACATGGCAAAATACTTATTCAGCACTACACATGATATTATTTGCACAGCGTCACAAAAGCTCAGTAATGACTTTCACAGGTGGCCTATGGTTGGTGCTCAGTAGTATGGGCTAATGTTTTGAGCAGTTGAGAAATCTAATATTCCTCTATAAACATACAAACCCACTATCGTATAGAATTCAAAATGTTGTATTTGAGTGGAATAAACATGAATACGGTGCAGATTACTAATAGCTTGACATCCAAAAACAAAATCAGCCCTTTAGCTGTATGCTTTTCTCCCCTTTGCACCAAGAACTATTACAAAGTGGCACTTCTGGAAGTTGAGAGTGGGACATACACAGGGAACAATATCAGGTGGAAGACAGTTTGACCCCAGCATACCTTCAGGCCACACGTGTAACCTTTCACCTTTTGGTGAAAGTTTTACTTGTACGACAGTGGTTTCCTTGCACTCAGACAAGCAGCGAGACAGTCAAGTCCTGACATGTGACTGCAAAAAGGGATTTTCCCCAAAAACCTTGAGAAAGTGGCCTGTATAAATACACCAATTCAAATTATGGAAAAAAACAAGCTAATTTTCATTAAATATAGTTTTCCAGTGAGAGTAATGAGCTGACAAATCTGCACAAGCACCAATTGTGAATGAACCTTGGTCTGAGTTCATGTTAGCAATTAAGAGAGGAGAATGTTTTGTGCTTTACATAAAAGCACTGTGTGTGTGACTGCATTTTCCTTTTAAACGTGTATAATTGAATACGTGTGAATATCCGTGAGTGGGTTTTACTGCATTTAAACGTACAAGTACTTTCAAATATAATTTGAGCATTCTTTGTGGCACTGTCGGCTGGGAAGGGATCATTTGGAGTCTTAGGTATAATGTTTCTTCACGAAACCAGAAGATGAAATATTTCTGTCTAAGTCAGTGGTGGGATCATAGTCTGGCACATTTAAAATCCATGCTTGGGACAGGAAGCGTAATCATTCACCACACCATACCCAGTAAGACACTATGCATGGCTAGCAGAAGGAACTCAGAAAATAGACCAGTATAGAAGGACTCGCACGAGAAGGAGGCTTGAAAACCATAAACGAGTGTCCATCAAGTTTCTCTTCTTCGTTTTGCTTCCTTTATAATTTTTTTCACCAACCTACTCGTATATGAAAGTTCGGTTTGGCATTAGGTCACAGGCACTTGGGGGCAGGTGGGGGTTAGTGCTGGGAGGAAACAAAAACATTTATAGAAGATTTAGGATGGATGTTAGTGGAGCAGACGAATGATTGGCAGTCATGGCTTAATGCTAGAGGCAACACAGCAAACTCAAAGAATAAGAGCATGAGCTGAGGTTATTTGGAGTTAAGTGCTCTGGGGGCGAACCTGAGAGCTTTTCCTCTGCAGTTTAATTCTCGATCTGATAATAAGATGGGTGAAAGGACAGAAAATAAAATCTAAAAAAAAAGAAAAAACACCATGTAACTGAGTAATATTTTTCTTTCTACTTTTTTTTCTTTTTTAATTTTAGAGTCCAATTTGCTCTGATGCCAAAACCCCTTTGTAAAGAGGGAATTCCAGGCACAGTCAGTTTGAGTCAGAACCAGGATTTTCCAAACACACTCTCACTGCCTCTCTTTAAATAGCCCAAGGAAATGTCAAAATGACCTAATTACGACTCAGGGTTTCCTAAGTAGCTTGTGTCAATGCATGACGATGTATTCAAAAATACACACCGTCACAAAACACCAGGATCTTGGTGGCAGTTAAGTATATAATTTTTATCTGTCTGGTTTAATCTGGAGTCTGTTTGGACAGTGAATTGCGCTCTGTCAGAGCCTTACTTCTTTTGTCTCTTAACTCTCAAGGTTTTCCCAGGTCAGGGCAGACCTTCAAAGGCTAAATGGAGCCAAGAAGTCTGCCAGAGACATATATTGTAGAAGATCTGACTGGACTACTTTATCACTGTATGCCGTAATGCTGTAAATCACAGTAAGAATACCACTGAACTGTGACATGGTTAGGCGTTCAAACACAAAAGCTACTTTGCCTGAACAAACACCACTAAAAATAGCTCCAATTTAGTAATCCAAAATACAGTGCTATTTCAACAGCTCAGCTCCTACCTGAAATAGCACTTGGGAATTAATCTTGGTAGTACAAAGGTCTTATTCATACAAAGTAAATCAGAGTTGAGTTGTCATTTAGCAAAAGTTCTGGCGGATACTAACTTTGACCCTTTTGTTGGGCTTATTTGTTTGGGGCTCAGGGAGACAATGTGGTATGCATCCTGTTACAGACCCCTTTACAGTAATGGTTTGAACAAGCTGTGACAATTAACGTAAAATGAAGGGAATGCAATGGACCATTT